GTCTAATACAACCATTGTACAATCTTCGTTTCTCTATATACATAGTCATTCCGAAGGAATATTTGTGGAAATTTTGAGAAGTTTAGAGGCTATTATGGCAGTTGAGCTCTGTAGTTTATCGTCGTCTCTAGGTGACCTCACGTAAACGAGAAACATCCTTACCACGTTGATGAAAAGGTGCAAGTCAGCGAACATGAAGGCGTTTTCCATCTTTTCGAACATATCGGACATGAGCTGAAAATACAAATATCGAGGGTGGGATGGGTTTTGAATATAACTAGAATAATAGCCATTCAAGTGAGTCCTTGAATTAATTTAATCAATTCATTTTCGACATTTTCCAGCCTAAAATTCTCCGTTGCTAATACACAAAATTTACGTTAATTTAATTTTAAAATTTAGTGTAATTATCTTCAGCTATTTTATTATAGGATTATTTGTGGCTATTTTCCAAGGATTTTCCCACATTTGAATTTTCAACAGGCTCGAGGCAGAAATAAATAAAGTGATTTACCTTGGCCCAAGTGAACTTGTGCAACGCCTCCATAGCTTTCAGCTGTTCACCCATTTCGCCGTGAAACATTCCGAAACAAGTCTCGAGGCTTTTCCGAGGAAACGAAGGCAAATGTGTCAGTTCATCGTGCAGAAAGAAAACCCGTTGAGCAATCTGAAGTAGAGAAGAGTCAAACGGTGAAGTTCAGGAATTTACTGGTTCCACTTAATTCAAAGAAAACTGGAATTTCAATGAAATGCAAATTGTTGCACAAAACACATCAGACAGATCCTGCAAAAATATAAAAAGCGCTACTACTGGATCCATTGGAAGGCTCTTGCTCGTGCCTGAGTGTTTCACCCTACGTGTAAAGTGATATGCATCAAACTAGCTCTGTCGTGACATATACCAGGGAGCGGTCAACAGAATCTTTCGAGAGTGGCGTCGTCGAGCGCGGCCACTTACAGGGCGTCGTAACCGGGGTCAACCGTGACGTTCGCACTTTTTCAGAAATTTCGCTACCCCTCCCTCCCCCCCCCTCCACCACCCTCGCCAGAGTGACTGTTGTTATAGTATTTGATTCTGAGACCAGTCGACACAGCCCAACTCCGCCCAGCTCTCACTTCAAAAGAGGTCGAGCTGGGCGGGGGCAAAACCACAACCACAAATGGGATCCCCTCGTTCGAATGGTGCGAACGCACGGTTGACCCTGGGTCGCAACGCGACACATTTCGGATGGGCGTGCTTTTGAATTTGACGATTGGAGCCCACGCTAATCTATGTGGAACGCGGATATCAAAGCAAATATGGGATGTACTACCTTTACTCTTTAATGAGAGGTGGAGCGAACGAGTTTGTTTCAAAGTTCATTATCGCAACATTGAAAAAAGCGGAAAAAAGACTTGTTTTTGTGCTTTGTTTGATACAATGATAGGCAAGACAAGGTGTAATGATTACTGACCACATGCTGAGGACTGTATTTGAGTATATTATGGGTGAGCAGAACTTTTCCGACTTCAATGAACCGCTGAGCGAACGCCGTTTGACGCATTTTCAGCTGAGCTTCGTTCAAATCCATTTTCACTAACGTCAGCTGTGGATAGAAGGAGCGATGAAAAAAGTAAAAATCCCTGAAATAATTTTTGAAATTTTTGAAAATATGTAATCATGAGAAATTCTGCTTATTGTTCGAGATAACTTAGCAAATAAGATGAAGGAGCATACCTAACAAAACAAGAAGGCAAATGTAGAAGACCAGTTTTAGCATCCGTGAGAAAGTAGGAGTGGACCTCGTCCTCGTCGATGTTGAAGAATTCAATGCTATCACTAAAAGGGTTCGGAACCTGTCAATGACTAGTAATCAAATGAATATGAATCGAATAAATCCTATGGAGTCCGATGTGTAAAGATGGAAAGAAAAAGGGCGGATCAACGAATTACCTTAGAATTTGCTGAAATTGCGTATCCTCATGAACAGGAAACTGGCTTGGAATTCCTCCCAATCCTGAATCCGGACCGTGAACGATGATTTTCTTGGCCGACGGCACATTAGCAGTAATCATGAGGGCTTGCTGAAAATGTGAAATAATAAAGCGTCTGCCGTACGCGATTCATCGTGTACCCGTCCCTATTCTGTTCCCGGCCAAGCAGTGTGGTGATTGAGGATAAGTTCTAACTTTAGAGTTCAACTATCTCCCTTTATCCCAAAACTTTGTGAACTTTAATACTCTTCAAGCAGTGTTATGATATATCTTGATGAATGATGCGTTGATCTATAAAGAAAGATCAGAAACATCAGTACCAATAGAACAGGCAGGTCGTCGAATGGTTCAAAACCAGTGCTGATAAGTGGGTTTCACATCTCGTCAGTGGGATTTTTCGTTTTCAACCTTCAACGCAATATTCAATCACTAATAGCATGAACTTGGTTGTAACCGGTGGGGACATTAGCTTTCCTTTTGCGATTTCAATTGAGGCTTTTGAACGGTGGTCAAGAAAGATCGACTCTACCTCCAGCAGATTTCAATTGATATCGCGCATGCTGGAGTTGTAGTCGTCAATTTCTCTTCCCTACAAGGGGGTTCCTCTAGGGGAAGCCGCGTTTTTCAAAATAACTTTTTGCATATTTCAGGGACCCTGTAGAGAGCACAAAATCACGTCTCATTTCCGCTGGACGGCTTTATCAGTACCAAAGATAAGAGGAAGGTACTGTGTATGGCTCAACCCTCTGTGGCGACTGAATTTTGCATTTGTATATTTGCTCACTCAAAAAATGAAAGATGCTTTTGTGGTCCATACATGCGCCCCTACAATATTG